CAGGGTGAAGGAGCTGTGCCAGCAGGCTGAGGGTTCTGTACTAGACCCAGGAAGCAATGCTCAAAATAAGGACCAAGACTCCCCTGAAAAGTCCCACAGCCTTCCTCAGCAACAATGAGGTGCCGAGCTCCTCTGACGATGAGAACAGCCAAGTTCATATCAGGAAGCCAGTGTGACAAACTTCTGAAGATTAAACAGCACACATCTTCCCCTCTGGAGCCAGGAAGCAATGCTCAAGTAAGGAACAAATCTCCCCCAGAATGAACCGCAGCCATTTTCAGCAACAAGGTCCTGAGCTTCTCCGATAACAGCTGGGTTCCTATCAGGGTCAGGGGAGCCAATGGCTCCAAACAGCAACACTTAGGAGAGCCCACAGTGTTACTGTTCTTCTCCAGGTCTCCTTTTCATGCTGGCAACAATCCTCAGCTGGGCCATCCATGCTCAGTATCATGCTGATCCAGTTGGCTGGTGTTTAAGTTGACCCTGGTTTCCATTCCACCGCAGTGCACTTCATGTGATCCCACTCAAATCCTTCTTTCTCTTCACCTACACCCACTTCACCAGACATGGACTCCTCTCTGACAACAGGCCCAACTGATCTTGTTCTCCCCTGGCAGCGCCCAGAACTTCCTGCTGCTGGAGTGGCTCCCTCCTTCAGGGTCTCCTGCTGCTGTAGCTGCTTCTTTACTCACAGAGCTTCCCTCAACTGCTATGGCCACCCCCTCCCCTTCCATAGAGCCTCCTGCTCCTCTCTTTGTCCAGAACATCCCTTTGAATTTAATCCTCCTCTGTACACTACACCTGCTACACCTGACCCCGCTCTACCCCATACCTGATCTGGATCGCAGCTTGGCCCCAAAAGCCTGCCCCTCACCCTCCAGTTCCCAGTGGGGGTGGGATGTGGGTGGTGGGTGGCAGGGACAGAGGGAATTACTGGAGTTCAGGTTCCTTTCTCTTTCACAGATCTCCTCCAAATTAACCAGTGTCTGGCCGCCTCCTCCTCAGATCTCACCCAGTATACCCAAGAGTTTCTTAGATACCTAACTCAGCCATGTAACCTGATCACCCCAGGGGGTGGCAGTGTCCATGCTGAGAGGTGCCTTTGCTCATGTTAGTGAGTAGGGACAAGAGCCAGTCAGACCTCAGATCCGTGCTGGATGCAAGTTCCAATACTTAATGCCAGCAGGCACTTTCAGAACCAGTGGTTTCCTATTAAAACTCAGGTTGAGCTTGGCTTTTTCACCACAGGAGCAGGGCCTATGTTCTTCCTATTTGAATTTAAACTTCTCGGGGGAGTCTTCCTGTAGCCTACCCTGTCTGTGGCTACATCTCACCCAGTCACTGTGGGAGGGTAATATTGGGAACCCTGAGTGAAGCCGTTTTTACTTGTCCTGTATTCCAGGTTTAAGTAACTCTTTCTTGAAATGACGACCGATCATTCTCTACCAGTATGGTGGAGACTTGTCTTTGGATCCCTCTCCAGCTTTTGCCTGCCATGTGCAAGGAGGTCCGTTCTCAAAAGCCATGGGCTCTGCTATTTCTCCCTGGATCTCTCAGCCTTGGGTGCTTACCTTTTTGCTAGGGAAAGCCAGGTGTGGTGGTTCAGGCCTGTAATTCCAGCACTTGGGAGGCTGAGGCAGTATGATCACTGAGAGTTTCGGGGAAGTTTGTGCTACATAATGAGTTCAAGGCCAGCCTGGACTACACAGTGAAACCTTATCTTGGGAAAAAAAAAAAAAAAAAAAAATTAAGGAAAGAAAGAGCTAGGAAGAAGAGTCCAAGTTATTTCCCCTTTTTTTCTCTGGATTTTGGACCTTTTTTGTGCTTTTTTCTTACAATGTAGTTCAGGATGGATTTGAATTCATGGCAGTTGTCCTGTGTCAGAGTGTTGGGATTACAGATGTACCCCACCATGTGCAGCACAGGGGAAATTTTTTCTCTCTAAAATGAGCATAATTATTTTTATCATTAAGAAAAAATATTAATGATTTTATATCACTTTGAAAAAGAAAAAATGATTTGTCTGTTAGCTATAAATAAACCAATAATTTTTTTTGATAAAAAGCTGTAACTCTGAAATAAGGAAAAAGGTTTAAAACAATTTTTGGACTGGGATGTGGCTCAGTGGTAGATTGCTTGCCTGGCATTCATAAGGGCCTGGGTTTGATCCCCAGCACTGTTTTAAAAAAAAGCTGTAAGCTGATGGAGTGAGCTGACTTTTTTCCTTGATAGTCCTTTACCTAGTACACTATATCAAGTTCAACGTCCTGCTGTCCAGAGGTTAAAATTAATTTTAAGTGTTTCAAAAACACCTCTATGATATTTTTCCTTTCGACCTATAGAATACCCATTGTAGACACCACAATACATTATTCTTTCAATACTCTGGTGGACTTTTATTAAATTTTAGCAGGATTTTGTATCTATGTATGTGAAAATGGTCAGCTTTGCTTTGTTGGTGCTGGGGAATGACTTGGACTTTGGTTGTTTACATGTAAGCCTGGGAGAGTTTAATCTAAGCTGGTTCATGGGTCAGCTATATGTAATCACCTAGAGGTTTTGTTTTCTTGGCTGGGCTTTGTACATGCTATAACCCTAGCAGCTATTTTGCCCCTATAGTACTGGGGATTGAACCTAGTGCTTTCATTCTTAGCTGTAACGTATCCTTGGCATTTTATTTTTATTTGAGACAAAGTCTGAATAATCACCAAGTTGCCCTGGCTAGGCTCAAATTTGAGATTCTCCTGTCTCAGCCTCCCAGCATGCTGACCTGGGAGTACAGATGTGTGCCATCATACTTGGCTTATTATTATTTTAAAAAATACAGCTGGTGGTGTAGCTCAGTAGTAGAGTACCTGCCTAGCATGCTTAATTCTGGGTTCTATCCATAGCCCTGAAAAAGAAAATCCAAATCTTATGCCTCAGATGCCCCAGCGTGAGGCAATATTTTAAATAGACACCCCAGATTTGGGAACTGTTCTACCTTAACTCATGATGCAATAATGGCAGGCAAACTAACCTCCTCCATCAGGTTGGAAAACATTAACATTTTAGATCCAGACTAGGAAAGGGCTTAGGCAAACACCTTCAACTTCTGTGGAAAACATCATGATTCATACACCACAGAAGGCACGCAGCTCAGTCCACAGTGAGCTGGTGATCTATGTGTTTAAAAATAAGATCAGCAGGGTGGTCAAATTTCTTTTGCAGTTAGTTGAGGTCTTGACAGATAATTTTGAACCATTTTTTGCTAAGGACAGGGAAAATTTAAAGCAGTTTCTCCTAACCTAGGCAGTTAGTCCCTTTCAAGAGCAGCTGTTTTAATTTTTTTTCCAAAGGCATCCATGAGCTAGTCCATTCTCATATCCTTTCCCCATCTCAGTGTATGTCTGTCAGTAACAGGAATCCAAAAGATAAAGAGTCTGGAACAACTCCCTCAGGAGTAAGAAACAAGAGAAAGGGACCTGCTGACCCTGCTTCTGCTTCTCAGCAACCATCAGAACACTATGGGTGCTCCTGGGCCTGGCCCTGATTCACTGCTCTCTGCCCTGCTGTGGTCCCGTCTTGAATAGCTCTGGGCACTAAACAGATGGGGACAGAATATACGAAGGCAGTGCTGATGCCACAGGCACCACTGCTGGATGTCTGCTGATGGAGCTTACAACCTTAACAGTAGAGCCTCGGGGTGGGAATCTACTGTCTGTATATTACTTGCAAGTCACTTTAAAAAATTAGATTTAATTGCCAACTTCATTACTTTTACTTTTTTATTAGTTTATTAATTGATTGCACTGAGGATTGAACCAAGACCTTTGCACTAAGCTGTATCATCAGCCCCTTAACACATTTCTTTTCTTTTTTATCTTGACACAGTCTGGCTAAATTGCTTAGGCTGGGCTTGAATTTGTGATCCTCTAACTCAGAAAGGCCTTGTAGACTTCAGCTAATACCACCAAACAATCTGCAATGTTATGCAGCACAGGTGAAAACTTATCTGTAGCCTTTCTTATGAAGGGCCATGTGCTCTGGCAGGAATACAATCCTACAACAGGCTTCCCAATGGGCCTCTCTCTTGTAGCCTCAGTTTAATCACTGAGATCAAAGGAAAGCAGAACTCCTTTCAAGTCATCTCAAAGTCATTAAGCAGGCGGTAAGCAGTGAGAATTAGTTTTGTAGGTCATCACTGAGCGGAAAGCGAGGACGTACCCTAACTTCTCTATGTTTTAATATATATGTTTTATTGGTGTATATTAATTTTGTAAAATACTGGTCTTCACTAAGTCTTGCTAATTTTTAAGCATTAATTAGAGCTTTCATAAAAATCAGTATCTCTACCTTTTCTTTCAAAATTGAAGACCTGCAACCTTAGGCTTTCATTCCCACACCTTCCTATGGTTCTTCTGTGCTGAGGATGAGGGCTGATCACTGAAGCTTGGTCACATCCAACTCCTCTTACTTCTGACTTTATTATCTATTTGTCTCCTATAAACACCTGTAGCTGCCACCTCCCTCCATCTCTTCTACTCCTTGCCTGTTTTTTTTTTTTTTTTTTTTGGTACCGGGGATTGAACTCTGACCTCATGCTTGCAAGGCAGACCCTTATGCCACTGAGCTAAATTCCCAGCCTATATCCATATCATTTGTGGGACTCTACTTGCCTCCCAAGGCCTGAGGGATGACACCCACTCTCCACTCTCCTCAACATCTTCGGACTGGACAAGATGAATGATAGGATGAAGAAAAAGATGTATCTTCAGTCAGCATTTACAAGAGCCAACAGCCAGGGATTTAGCTCAGCAGCCTAAGTGCCTGCCTGGCAAGTGCAAGGTCATGAGCTCAACTGCTGGTACCACCTCCCCCCGCCAAAAAAATTAGAACAGCCAGCAATCTTTTGGCTTATGGTCAGCTGGACATGACTCCAGACTTCAAGAATATATACCCACTCTTACTTTTCTTTACACCAAGGAAAAAAAAAAACCAACTCAAAAAACAGGCAGTGGTTGGGTTTACAGTAATTTTATTGTAACAGAGAAACCAGGCTGTAGTAAGTCTACATGATTAGAGCGGATGGTGGCTACCTTCCAAAGGGTGAGGTGCATCTTCTTTTCTGACGCTACCCTGCACTGCCCAGCTGGCAATGAGGTGAGTGGCTGTGCAGCCACACTAGGGGAGGAAGCAGCCAGCCGGCAGAGGCAACATGCCAGCGGGGACCAGCACACAGCCCCTGAAGCAGACACTGAAGTAAAGTGCAGTTGCCTACTCTCCACTATTCTTCGCTAAGAAAGGAGAAGGAATGGCATGAGAATTATGTTCTTTATTCTGAAATAAATCCTGACAGGGTCGATGACCAATCAAACAGCAGCATGGAGTGAAAATCTGGCTAGGTATGTCTTCATGCCTAAAGAAAAGTATAACAATGATAAAGAGGTGAGTCTTCTCTCTCCTTTTCTTAAATAAGCCAGGAAACAGCATGTATTACTTTCCTTGCTGCAGTGGTTTTTGTAGTCATTGGTTTTTGTAAAGTATAATCTGGTCTGTTGATTAGGTTCCACCACGGAGGACAAATGTGAGTTAGTGACTGTTAATGACAGCCTAGGTCTTCTCTCATGGCTTCTAATATGAGCTATGTCTCATGCTGGGCCCACAGAGGAAACCCTTAAACAACATGATGCTTCCGTTAAAGCTTCTGAAATATTGCAATCTCTTGAATACAGGTTTTTTTTTTGGTGCTGTGACTTCCTTACATGTGTAAACTCTTTTAGAAAAGTTGGAGACAAAAGAATGGGGGAGAGTTTGGTTTACAGCCACAAGTCCCAGACCAGCCACCCTGCCTCTGCACTATTTTGCTACATGTTCTTTTCTGAGAAACACATTCAGCTGTTGAGTGTTGTGTACTGTGGTTGAAAGAAATGATCCACTCACCACCATCCACCCTCCCTCCTCCTGCATGTCAATCTCACATCAGCAGAGGCTGAGGACAGAAAGGTTGTCTCTGTTCCTTGCATCCGGAGATTACTTGGTAACCTGATGAATGGCATGGGCAAGATAGCCCACATTGCCAGAGGTGACCCCTGCCACAGAGATGCGGCCATCCTTTGTCATGTAGATTGAGAACTCCTTGGTTAGCCTCTCTACCTGCAGAGAAACAAGGACATGGTTACTTCTAGGCAGTAATTTTTCCAGCTCTGGCATGGCATAATAGCCAGCTTGCTGTGACAAAAATAACAGTGGGTCTATTTTCTCACTTACGCCCTCTTCTTAGGTTTTGATATGTCAGCTTAGAGTAAAAGAAGAATAAAAAAATATTTTAATGTAGGATAATGAATTCTGAAGTGTGAACAGGTAGAAAAAAAATCTAAGATATAGCATAGAAAACCAGCAGTTGTCATAAATACAATCAAAACAAGGTATGTGGGCTGGGCTTATAGCTCAGAGGTATAGCAATTGCTTAGCGTGGGTTCCTTCCCTTGCACTGAAACCCCCTTCTCCCAGCCAATCAAAAATAAAAAAACCTCAAGGTATGCATTCAGAACTCTGCAACCTCATGGTGGGGATACAGATAGGTAAACAACTACTAAACAAAACAAGCCAGCCAAGTGTCATGGACCTGAGGTTCCCAGATACTCAGGAGACTGAGGTGGGAGGATTACTGGATGCCAGGAGTTGAAGACCAGTCTGAGTAACACAGCTGAAGTCCTATCCACAACAACAATGACGATGACAACAATTCCCACAAACCCTATGAATGTTACCTAACACCTTTACCAAAATAACCTTAGGGCCACCCTGAATAGGCAGGGACGTGGGAATAGGCAAGGACGTAGGAGGAATTCTAGTTTGCAAGGACTGATCAACAGGTCAGCCGCAGAGAAATATCCACTCACCTGCTCGGGCTTTAGGCCTGTGAAACAAAACATTCCAATCTGGTCAGTGATGTGCTGCCAGTTGTGGGAGGAGCCCTCCTTCTTGAGGTTGGAGACCAGCTGGGTGCGCATGCTAATGATACGGTCGGCCATGCCTTTCACTTCTTGCAACCTGTAAGAAGACCCAGAGAGGGTGCTCACCCTGGCTAGGCACCACCAGGTAACCCAGAGTTCACAGCGTTTTAATCTCTTTGTGTGCCTAGATTCTTAGTCCTTGCTTAAACCATTAAGCTCCATTGTCCAGGAAGGAGAAAAGCTATGGCATTGCATTCTGTTTCATATCATAAGGCTACTCTGACCAAACAACTAAAATAGTTAACATGCTTGATATTAAGAAAAGTGAGGGTATCACAAAGAAACATTACAGGCTAAAGTGGAAACTATAGGCTAAACAATATAACATGACCTTGTTCTTTATCACGGATGGAACAAACATTCCTTCCTTTGCAATAAGACAAAGCACTGTACACCTACGGTGACCCAAGTTCATGTGTTAGGTGCTATGGACTGAGTCGTAGTCCTTGCCTTTAAAAACTTACAAAGCAGGCTTGGAGCCAAACCTGTAAACAATCAAGTATGGGAGAAGGCAGCATAATATAAAGCTAATAGAACAGCGCTGTGCTAGAGAAGGGGGCTGGCTCTGTCTGGGGACTAGGAGAGACAGTCCTCTGTATACAGAGCTCATTTGGTTTTCAACACATTTTCTCCTTTTTCAAAACTGCCACTGACATTCTATTCCCAAGGCTTTATGGGAAATTCTTGTTGGTCCTCATTAACCAGACCACTGAAATGACATATATTGCCCTGTGTTATGTGTTTGCTTTCCTAAACCATCTCTCTGTGATGATGTCATACACAGCTACAACAGGTTCAAAATTGCCAATGAAAGCTGGCAGCACTGCATTAGCAGTGATTAAAACTGGAGCTGAGGAGCCTCTGGTCTCTCCCAAGGTGACATTTGATTTTAGATTTCCTGCAGCCCCATCCATCTAGCTCCGTTCACTTTGATACAGGGCCCCTAAAGGCACTGCATGCAAGATCTGTGTATCCTAGATGCTGTTCGACCTTAGCAAAACCCTCCCTCTTTCTTTCAAGCTTGCTTTTTTTTTTTTCTTTGCTTTTTTTTCTCTCAATATTTGGCAACAACCCCAGCTTCCTCCTCCTTTTTTGAGATGGGGTTTTCTTTGGTTCCCTAGGCTGGCTTTAAATTTGATTTTCTTGCCTTAGCTTCTCAAGGAGGTAGGATTAAATATACTTCTGGCTTTCCTCTCCTAAACTTTTTGAATGTGCTTACATGTTAATTTTATGAAAAAAAATATAATTGAAAAAGTAGGGCCAGGGATTTAGCTCAGTGGCACACATTATTACATTACAAACATTATTACATTACATTATGACTGGTAAACTTAGAGACCACAGAGAGCAGAGTTAGTTTTTTTAATCCAAGACTACACAGAAATTCATCCTCTCATCTAAGCTATACAGGACAACCTTAAACTTAAACTATATTGCATGTCATGACCCATTTGTAGGTCATACATTCAATTTAGTAGGATATAATTTGCAATTAAAAAATACTGAATTTGATCATTAGCACTACAAAAGAAAAAAGAAAACACTGGATTGTAGCACATAAAGTCACCAGTAACAAAGCTTTTGTTTTCTGAGGTCCTGCTATGTTGCTCAGGCTTGTCTCAAACTGAGTTCAAGAGATTCTCCCACCTCAGCCTTCTTAATATCTATGACTAAGGTGTGGTCTACCATAACTGGCTCAAAGACTGAATTTTTCTTTTTTTTTTTTTGAGGTAGGGTCACACTATGTAGCTCAGGCTGGCTTGGAACTCATGATGATCCTCCTGACTCAGCTTCTCAAGTGCTGGGATTACAGGTGTCCATCATCATGTCTGACAAACACTGAGTCTTAAAAATCATTTTAGTTATATATACACCCATATAGAAGTAATGTGTTTGGGACCATCATGTAAAATGTATTCCTTAGTGAAATGTGATTAAAAAAAAGATTAACACTAATTGGAGAGTAGGCATTAAGATGTAACTGGCAAGATAATAAAAATCAAAAAATATGCAGGAATACTGATTCAATATGAGCAATTACTTGTACAAAAACAAAACTACGTGGCCTGTGGATATAGCTTAAAGGCAGAGCGCTTGCCTAAAAGCAAAAACAAAGACTAAAACATGATCTTTTTTTTTTTTTTGTCTTTTTCATTTTTATTGGTACCGGGGATTGAACTCACGACCGCCTGCTTGCAAGGCAGGTGCTTATGCCGCTGAGCTAAATCCCCAGCCCCAAACATGATCTTCTTAAGGAAGATTTTCTATGTAAACTACTTTAATTTGAACTTGAGCTTAGAAGGCAGGTTTACTAAATATGGAGACTAAAGAATAAAAAGAACTGCTATTTCTGAACTATGTGCATCTCTTATAGGGAAATGCCAACGGATATGTGTTAAGAAAAATGCACTTTCTTGACACCCTCTCCCTCTGCACACAGGGAACCTGTGAGGTGCTGTGCATCACTGGCTTTAAGGAGTGGTGGGACAGGTGCGTGGGTGGGGAGTGGCGGAGTCTTTACCATTGCTTTCGCAGATCTGGGGAAGTGAGAATGGTAGAGGCAATCCGGGCCCCATTGATAGGAGGGTTGGAATACATGGGACGGATCAAGATCTTCAGCTGGGACTCCACTCTTTTGGCTTCATCCGCATCTTTGCAGATCACAGTGAAGGCTCCGACACGCTCTCCTGAAAAGACAAAGTGGATCTTGTCTTTTAGATACCCACGTAACACACTAAACCAAATCATGATTAAATTTGTCACTTGATATATATCTCTATCAGAAGGGCCATAAAAATAACTTTTTTATTATAAATAAAAGCAGCAAGAATGGTGAATTGAAGCATAACAGAAAGTTTGAGTACTTAAAGAACACACTATATTGTATCTATTCTCTTGGGTCCTGGATCAGTTGCTTCATGTTTAGAGAAGTAATAATCTGTTTTCTCTCCAGATAAGGAGGGACATAAGGAACAGACAGACAGACACCCTATCTGTTCCTGCCTTTGTGGCATTCTCTCCCAGCTCTTCTCCAAGCTCATTAGAACACACATCACCCTGGGTCCTGTAGCTCACCGTATAAACCCATGTTCTTGGCGTATGACTGGCACAGGCAAACATTAATGCCCTGTTCAATGAAGTGGCGCACAGCCCAGGCATCCCTGTCACCATCACCGCTGGCGAAGCCCTGGTACGCCATGTCAAAGAACGCGAAGAGATTCTTTTTCTGTGAAGAAATGAGAAGACCAAAGCTTTAGGCAGAATCTCTAGATACCACACATGGTTGCTAGCACTTACTGAGATCATGTCTGCCTCACCTAGAGGTGAGACAGCAACTTTTTTTTTTAACTTTGGTTAATATACTCTCAATGGCTCCAGAGTTCTGCTTAAATAGGGGGTGGGGTCATTACTCTTATTTAGTCAATATAGGAGTAGTACCTGTCTTTTCTGGAGCTAATGTAACCTGGGTAGGTTCTTTCTAACCTGAGAGTTCCAGAGATGGCCTGAGTAGAACCACCTCATCTTGAAAGTGCTCTCTGCATGCTGTTTCTGTCTCATTTCTTTTTGCAGCTTAGATTTGACAGACGGTAGTGAAAACAGAGACTCAGGATGAAAGGAATGTTTTTCCCTCTAGAATTCTGATGTGTGACAGCCAGCTACCCTCTTGAGAGCTAACGGCAATACTGAGGAAAGTGGCAGGGAGGTATACAGAAGGATGGGTAATGAACACTGACTGAGGCAAATGCAGGTGGCTACCAGCAGACCCACAGGCACTGCAGCTGCTGTGCATGGTAGCCAATGGCAGGCTTTATTCAGACCAAGGAGCAAGAATGTTTCAAACTGTTCAGATACCATCAATTACAGAACTGCTAACTAAGCAAGTGAGGTACTCTTTCTTGGCAGCGCATATGAAAGTTTTGTGTAGGGTCTAGTTTAATTCTCATTGCTCACCTACATGGGAAAATTTTATGTAGGATCCAATTAACTTTTACTGCTAAGACTTGGCCAAGTTAAGCATCCAAGGCTATTTACTAAAACTTTTAATCAGACACTCAGGCTTCTCTTATATGAGACACTCAAAGTATAAACAATATAAGGAGCACAGACAATAGGAAACAAGGATAGCTCTTTTGCAAACAGGAAGGGAACCAAAAGATGGAGAAGGAAGGAAGTAAAAAGAAGATATATTATGTATATGTACCAACTCCTCATGATAAATGTAATCATCATATATGGAAAATATGTACTGAAGGGGTTGGGGATTTAGCTCAGCGGCATAAGCGCCTGCCTTGCAAGCCTGTGGTCTTGAGTTCGATCCCTGGTACCAGTAAAAATACAAATACACACACACACACAAAAAAAAAAAAAAAAAAAAAAAAAAAAAGAATAAAAAAATAGAATATGTACTGAAATAAATTTCTTTTTAATTGGTACTGGGGATCGAACTCACGACTGCCTGCTTGCAAGGCTACTGAAATAAATTTAAATAAATAAAATAAACCTGGAACCAATCCCAATCAGTTCATCCTCCTCACCTTCACCACTGATGCTATTTCCTTCCACTGTTCTTGGCGAGGGTCCACTCCTGTGGGATTGTGGGCACAGGCGTGCAGCAGAATAATGCTTTGTTCTGGTATTTTCTAAAGAGAAAAACAACCAAAAGACTGCTACTTTGCAGCTTAAGAGCGGCTCTTTCTCATCGGGTCACTAGTATCTGATAAGTTACAACAAGAATCTGAGGTCTGGGGATTAGCTCATCCTCAGTATTTTAAGCCAGATGTTAGCACTTACATGGAAGACATCAAATATCTACCAGAAAGTTTATCCCCTCTTTTTTGTCCCTCCAACCCTGAAAGCCACACTTACAGAAATGTCCTCCATGGCACCAGTGAAGTCAAAGCCACAAGTCTTGGGGTCATAGTACCGGTAACCTTGTAGCTGCATGCCAGCATCTCTGAAGATGGGTGTGTGATTTCCCCAGGATGGTTTGGGCAGGTAGACATCACGGCTGAACTTGAAAAATCTTTGCTAAAGAAAGGGTGAAGGGGAATGGAAAATGAAAAAAGGAAAAGCAAAAAAACAAAAACAAACAAACAAACAAACAAACAAAAAACCGGTATATTTTCTTAAGATATTTTTCTTCACTGAGTCCCAGCTTCTCTCTGTGGTTGACTAACAGTATTGACTCAGTCTGGGGAATCTGGGCTCTGACAATTATCCTTGTTGTCTAGCTAAGGAATTCTCTTGGCCTTGACTTGTAAAATGGTGTTAACTAGAAAGGGTGATGTTGCAGCCTATAACACAAGCACATTGAGGCAGGAAGATTATAAATTGGAGCTTCGGTTGGGTAACCAAAGGAAGACTCTGTGTCAAAATAAAAAATAAGGCCCAGGAATATAGCTCAGCACCATAAGCACCTGCCTGGCAAGTGCAAGATCATGAGTACGATTCCTGGTATCCACCCGTCCCTGCCACCAAAAAAGAGCTGGAGACATAGCTCAGTGTGAGAACCCTGGGTTCAATCCCTTGTGTGCACACGGATGCACACACACACACACACACACACACACAGTTACCTAAATTTCCCTTATAGGAATTAAATGAATTAAAATATCAAAAATATGAAAGCTCCCTAGTAACAGTATATGATCAATACACTGAGTTTATTATTCTTTAACTTTCTTATAATTTCTCCAAGACACTTTCTTTTCTTAGTCTGAGAATAGGAAACCTACCAACTCAGTGGAAAGAGAAAATCTACTTCTGGGTCAGTGTGGAATACAGGTACAATAGGAAGACTGTCAGTCTCCACTTAAAACATTTTCCTGGGACCACTATTGTACTCACCAGAAAGTTGGCTCCGATCCTTAAGGCTCCAGTTCCAGAAATGGTTTGTACAGTGACGAACTGCAGGAGACACATTGTGGTCAGTGATGTGACCAGCCCAGAGAGGTCCTACTCTGTCCAGTCAGTACCCTTAATGCTTCAAAGGTAACTCTTTATGGACTGTTAGCATCACCTATGGAACACTTGTAGGACACAAAAACTCTATCCCAAAATGCAAAAGCAATGATTTCCACAGAAATAATGAAAAGACACTAAGAAGTATTATATTAAAATGTTACTCTAGAATTATACAAAATGGAATGTCCTCTGAACATTAAAGTTCCAATGAAATCATCAAGTACATTAGGATAATGTTAGCACACTGTATTTTTTGTGGTACTCTGACAGTTATCTCATTATATAGCTAAGGGCCTTTCTGGGCTTTCACTTGTAAAATGGTGTTAACCAGAAAGTGATAATGCATGCATCCCAGAGCTAACAAGCAATGAGCTCTACAACTGAGCTACATCCCCAGCCCATGTACATTGTAAAGGTCATCTAACAAGTCTTCTACGAGTTTTCATAATGTGGAAATAAAAATCTAATTGTAGGTCTGGAAATACTAGTGATTCACAAAGGCACAGCAATTCATAAAAGACAAAATAGGGTATCTTAACATTCAGGCTGTAATTGCCCAGATAGGCACATATTAAGTAAAATCACACTGTTAATAAAAATACAGTTTTAGTGAGGGGCTAACAGGTAGTTCATTGCATGGTTAATAACCAAAGCATATTCTATCCCTGACTTAAGATAATTACTGAGCTTGAGGATGTATATTACTCTCTGAGTTAACAAGCTAATTGTGTGAACTCAGACCACTCTTTTTTTGTATCGGAAATCAAACTCAGGACCTTGTGCTTGCCAGTCAGGTGCTTGTACTATTGAGCTACATCCCTGACCCCACCCCACTCTTTTTTTTTTCAGAAGGGAAGGAGGAGAAAGACTCCTGGCTTAATTTGCCTTTTTTTCAGTACTGAAGGTTGAATACAGGGCCTTGCACACAATAGGCAAGTACTCAACCACTGAGCTACAATCTCAGCTTGTATGTTTTTTCCTCTAAGGCTTAAGAAAAAAATTAATTTGCAAATTATTCATTATTTATTATTAAACTATTAGCAAACACATTTTTGGGGCCAGTGATACAGCTCAGCAGCATGAGCACCTGCCTGGCAAGCGTAAGGTCTTGAGTTCAATTCCTGGTGCCAGAAAAACAAAATAAAACAACCCCCCCCCCCACATTTTCCCACTCAAAGAAAGTAAACTATGATGCATGTGAGTTCACACATTGGGAACATAGTCTTTTCTCTTTCAATGCTCAAATTGGTTTTCACAGAGTAGCCGAGTGAGTCACTGGTCCTGCCTGCATGGCTACCTGAGGACAGTTTTCTGTTTGCTTCTCCCACCCAGGCCAGAAGCTTAGCACAGGAGTGTGGAGATTAATTACAGGCCTAAAAGTAGGCACAGCTACGTGTTTCTACAGCACATCCAATGTCTTTTTTTTTTCCGGTTCCGGGGATCAAACTCATGACCTTGCGCTTGCCAGGCAGGCACTTATGTTGCTGAGCTAAATCCCCAGCCCCCAATGAGTCTTAAGAAATTTTCGATGTGCTATAAGGTTTGGTTTTTTTGCATGTGGATATCCAGTTGTTCCCGTGTATTTATTGAGGGTACAATCCTTTCTCCACTTAATTGCTTTTGCATCTTTGCCAACAATCAGTTGTCTGTTACGTGGGTATCTATTTTGGGACTTTATATTGGTACTCTGGTGGTCTGTCTATCTTGATATCAATGCCATTTTGTCATGATTGGTGTAACTGTGATAAGTCATGGGACTAGGGAGGGTTGGAGCTCTAATTTTGTTCCTTTATTAAAGTTGTTTAGACTCTTCTGAGTCTTTTCTATTTTTACAGAAATGTTAAGGACCAAAATGTTAATCTTTATGAAAAATGATGTGACAGTTTGATAAGGGATTGTGTTTTTTGATCTTTATTATTTTCTTCCATTTGTTTTTGGCTTTATTATGTCTTATTTTTACTTTCTCAAGGAAAGACATGCAGATATTTCATAACTTAGTTTTCTAATAAATGTACTTGATGTTAAAAAATTAGTAAAATTTTGAGATGGGGGAAAAAGGAAGTTTGTAAAACCACAAGAATAAAAGGGAAAAAAATAATGAAAATGAATATAACACAGATGCTAACAGCAAAATAAAGCCAAACTTATCAGTCAAACTGCTACTATATTTTCAGGGTTACCAGTACATTTTTAGAATTGTATTACATATCATAATCTTTTAAATTATGGCCAATTTACTATCTAAAGAAGAATTAGGAAGTGTGCCCACCTCAGTCATTATACATGTGTAAACTGAGTTCTATTTTCCTGTTTTAAAAAATTATTTAAATTACTTCAGATTTGTGTAAACTGTTACACATAACAGATCCTTGTATGACATTAGAGTCTGCTCAGCTTACCCGGCCACTTTTCAACACCTCGTTGTTCTCACCCAGGGCCAGTTCTGCAGATGCCTTACAAAATTCAGCCAGCCCTGCAATGGGCAGGTATTCCTTGTCCACATTTTTTGCAGCAAGCTGGGCTTCTGCCTAGACATGAGAAAAATGCATTTATTAGTTTATTCCCCTTACCTGGAACTAAATATAATTACTAATTAATGTTTTATAAATAAAATGTAAAGGCTTTTTTCTTCTTTTCAAGGCAGGTTTCATTTTCATTATGCTAGTTCAGGCTGGCCTTGAACTCACTTTGCAATCCACGCTGGTGTGAGCTGCTATGACTTTCCTGCCTCAGCCTCCGGAGAGCTGGGATAACAAGCATGTGCCATCATGTCTGGCCTTCTTTCTTTTTGAGATGGGGTCTCACTATGTTGCCCAGGTTGCCTTGGAGCGTTTAGGCTCAAGTGATCCTGCTACTTCAGTCTCCTGAGTAGCTAGGATGATAGGCTATGTCACCACTCCTAGTAATTCTTGTTTTTTTTTTGTTTTTGTTTTTGGTGCAGAGATTGAACACAGAGGCTGCACATGCTAGGCAAGTTAGATAAGCATTCTGAATGGTTCCCCAGGGCAAGTCTTGTTCCTTTATTTGAAGTTGCTGTCCAAAAAGAGTAAGTGAAATACTTGATATTTTGTACCATAGAACAGACATATTTTAAATATTTATATTTTGATTCTCAGGTTCATAAGTGTGATGACTGGGTGCTCATGCTCCATGCATGACCTGTGCCTCCTTTGAACCTTGTTACGACCTTGGCACATTACCCATCTGACGTGAAAAAAAAATTATATTTATTTTTTTGAAAGTAAGGTTTTATGTGCCTGGGTACATAGGCTCTCTTGGCTGCTACTTAATATAAAATGGCATTCTTGCAACATACAAGAACAAAGTTTAAGAATACCACCTACAGTAGACAAAAGATAACAAAAATAAATACATAAAGGGGAAGTTTCCTTATGGTGAATGCCAAACTAAGAACTTCAAAGCATTAATAATAATAGCATGGTTGTTCCATGTGACCCCGGACAAGTTATTTGATCTTCCAGTCCCCTCATCTATTTGTTTTCATAATAGGAACTGAATCTACAGGTTTCTGTCATGAGCATTCTGCCACTGAGCTGCATTCCCAGCACTGATTTTTATTTTCTTTTTTTTTTGAGACATAGTCTTGCTATGTTGTCCAGGTTGGCCTGGAACTTGCAATTCTCTTGCCTCAGTTTCCCAAGTAGCTGAGGTTACAGATGTGTGCTAACACACTCAGTTGAGGAGCAACTATTTTTATGTCTCAGAGCTGAGGTTAAGTGTTCATAAAGTAATGTGCAACAGAACTTGGTTATCTTTAGCTTGCGAAAATAGCTTATATTTTCGAATACATTTTCTTTTTCTTCTTTTGGACAGTGCTGGGGGTCAAATGTAGGACTTTGCACATGCTAGGCAAGCACTGTATCATTGAACTGTACCCCTGGACCTGAATGATTCCTAATATTTATTCTAAGGGGATTAGTTATTTAAAGCTGCAACAGAAACTATGTAACTAATACTAACAAGAATACAGCAAAAATATGGAGAATGAAAAAATTATCCTATGGTTCACCAGGAAGGACAAACAGAGCATGCATGTATACAAGGGGTTTACTAAGGTATTCAAAGGGGAGAAATGGAAAATAAGAATAGTAACTCTCATTTGCACAAGACTATGACTCTTGCCAAGAGACAATGTTTAAACTTCGGGTCCTCTGTGCACCCTCAGGGTGCAGTGACACTATGCTAGTTCATCCTTGGAGAAGACTGTGAGTCCAATCTTACACTTCCATAGCCAAAGGTGTCATGGACCAGAAAACTCAAGTGAGTTTGCCTGAATTAGAACCTGGGCTGAGGAATTCCAGCTCCACACCCTTCCTGCCAGCCTCAGATCTCCGTGCAGCTGACTCCTGCCAAGCTAGCAGGAGACGCACGTGAGCTCACCTTCCTCACACTTGGGAGCACATAGGGCTTGCCGTTGTCGTCACGGTAGGCACCAACTCCCAGGTTCATCTTTTTGCTGTTCGTGTCTCTCTTGTAGGCCTCAGTGACTCCCAGGATGGGATCTGGGGGTCCCATTTCCACATGAGTCCACCAGGAGCTGAAATGAGAAACATTTGGCCTCAGTCACATGTGCTAGGCCCCATGGCCAGAGATGTTTCTACTGGCCCAAGATTCAGTGTGACAAATGCTTGTGTGTTACATACTGGGTATAGAAGTAGGCACCAATAACCCAGTGACACCAGGCTTCAAAGCAGCTTGCCAAGGAGCAGACATATACTTTTCACACAGATGCTATGAGACGCTAAAGCGACATCCAAATCATTCCGGGAAGACAGGGTTTTGGGCAGGCTTTATGTAGTTATTTCCAGATAGGTGTCACTACATAGTGCAGGCCAGCCTCAAATACACTATGTAGCCCAGACTGGCTTTGGTCCTCCTGTCTCAGTCTCCTGAATGCTGCTTTCTTTTTTTATTTTTATTTATTTATTTTTACTGGCAGATTATGGTTTAAATGAATGCTGCTTTCCTGGGAAAGTTTTTAAAGCAGTCTAAACTTGACCTGAATTCCCACATAGGAGCACACTTCAAGGCTTTCCGGAAAGATGGCGGAGAGGTACACAGCCAAAAACGCCTCTCTTGAGAGTCACCATCTAGATACTGGAATATAGCAATTTGAGGGAGAGAAGGGGTGGGAATGTGGTTCCTTTGGAACCAGGAAAGATCTGAAGTGAGAACTGAAGCCCAGGGGGACAGTGAAGAGCTAATTCAACCTAGTTCAACGAAGGAGGAAGAGGGAGCAGGCAGAGCCTTCTGCCGGGACGAGACTCACTGCAGAAGAGCGGTTCAAACCTGTGGCTGCATGGCGACTGCTGGGGACCCCAGCGCCTCCATAGAGGCGCAGCAGTGGAAGGGAACTGCACCCTCTGAGGGTGAGTACTGTGGGACTGCACATCCTGAGGGAGAGGGCAATTGGCCAGGAGTCATCTTGGAGGGGCCCAAGGAGCTCAGAACCAGAGAACACAAGTGACAGGGCAGTGAGGGGCCGAGAGTGGTTAAAGAGGAGGTGCGACCAGAAGCAAAGGCCACGCAAGAGTTATCATTTGATCTCTTAATGGGCTTGGATTTTGTTTCCAGCTTATTTAAGAGCACACATAATTTGGAGAGCTTAGTACACACTTGGGTCAGGGACCCACCTTGGGTGTAGTAACACATGGAGAATCATTGAAGCTTTTCTTTGGGTCGGGGAAGGGGGATTAATAGGTGAGAGGGGTGATAACACGAATGGACTTGCATTCCTTAGGGCCCAGCCAGCCACAAGGTGAGGTACTGAATACAGAGTGCTAAGGGTGTGTATCCACCCAACGGTGGCTGAAGAAGACACAGATGAGGACCTGAACAAGGACAGGGGCAACTGGGGGAGGGAGGAAGGTGCTAGGTTTTTAGGAATTAAAAACTGACAGGAACAGCTGGTTCTAATATCTTTTTTTGTCTTATTGAGACAGGGTCTCTCTATGCAGTTCAGGCTAGGCCTTGAGCTCACTCTGTAGCTCAGGCTGCTCTTGAACTTGCAACCATTCTCTTGCCTCAGCCTTCTGAGTGTTGGGGTTACAGGCATGTGCCACCATGCCCGGCTCATGCCATAGAACTTTAAATGACTGTTTTCTGTCTTTTTTTTTTTTTTACAACCATGAACTGACTTGAGATTTTGTTTTAGCCAGTAAGCTAGGACCCATGGCTAGCAGCACTGAGTTTAGTATTTTAGTTATTTTGTGGTGCTGAGGAAACCCTGGGAGTCTGAGCCACATTCCTCAACCCTTTCTGAGACAGTTTTGCTAAATTGTTCAGGGTCACCTTGAATTGGACCCTCTTGCCTCAAACTCCTGAGTGGCTGGGATTAGAGATGTGTTCCCTTGAATTTGGTTTTATGCTTTTAACTATTTAGTGATTTCTGAGAGAGAGGACAGAGAATTTGGCTTGTTAACTGTTCTTATTTGCTTATCTTTATTTGGTGCTTAAATCAGTTGAGAGTTTTCTAGCTTTCAAAAAATCAAACTGATTTTTTGTTTTGCTTACTCTGGACCTATGGCAGAAGGTATGATTCTGGGGCTGGGGTTTAGCTCAGCAACATAAACACCTGCCTTGCAAGTAGGTAGTCGTGAGTTCGATCCCTGGTACCAATAACAAAAAAAAAGGTGTGATTCTGAAGAGTTATAACCTCACTATGTGTCAGTAATCTGGAAAGGCTTTCAGAGATCCTGAGTGCCTGAATGTGAAACATTTTCTATCTCTGAAGGGCGCTGATAAACTTGATAATAAAAAATCTCAAGTAAAAGGTTTGTGGGTTTGTGTTATAAACATTCAGTACTTATAGCACTGAATAGTCTTAAATTTTCCAGGAAATGGAAAACCAAATTTCTCATACTTTCAATGTATACATGTAATTTCTTTTCAGGCTATTTTATCAGTCAACCAGAATCAGTTCAGGAAAAATAAATCTACATAGAGTAAAATGTATGCTACATTATACTTAACATGAATAAGAGGATAACTGTTCTTATTAAATCAAATTAAATGAGTCTCATTTACCAAAGACTGATTTTTATTTATGTGAAGTTGAATTCCTAAAATTAATTTAAGAAAAATATACTTAAAATAAAAAAGTTTTAATTGAACTATTCTGATAAACTTTTAACAGTGATTATATATTTTTATTCTTTTAATATGTAGTATTTTTAGAACAAGTTTAGATTTAAGAAATGGAGGAGTACAGTTCCTACCCACTCAAGTTTCCCAGCTACGAATGTTGCCACTATACATCAGCTCCATACCTTTGCTACATTAAGGAACCCATGGTGATACATTAAGTCTACCAATTATTCAGATTTGCCTAGTTTCTACCAGGGTCTGGTTCCAGGACTCCTTCTGATACTACATTACAGTTAGCTGTCCTGTCTTCTTAAACTTTTCCTGGCTGTGATGGTTTCAGAGAATACTGGTCAGGTATGTCATAGGATGCTCCTGTACTGGAATTTGAGTTATCTCCATGACTAGACTGTGGTTATTAGTTTATTTTGGAGAACAGTAATTATATTTTATAACATGTCAGCTTGAAAGCAATTTTTAAGACCTTTGGTAAATTAATCTTAGACATTATAATGAATTAGTGGATTAATTAATCATCAGCTATCTAATTTCTAATTAAGACAATATAGACATACTGATTATGAAGCATAAATTTTGTGTATTTTGGGTGGGGGTTTAGCTCAGTGGTGTAAGTGCCTGGTTGGCAAACACGAGGTCCTGAGTTCGATCCCCAGCACACACACACAAAAAAGTTTGTATATTTTGCTTCTTATTTTTACTTGCTCTAGGGGATGCTATAGCTTTGAGTTATAATGAGCATGTTCTTTGCTGCAATTTAGAGGACAAAGTATAAAAGGGATGTGGTGAAAGTTGTACTCTGTTCATGCACTTTGCTAATCTCGTTACATTGATTGGTTTGACATCATTGCCTTCTTACTCAGTTTTCTTCGTGAAACAGAAGTTACTTTGGATCAAGCGTGATGGCCCATATCTGTAAATTCTAGCACTCTAGGAGGCTGAAGCAAGAGGATCACAAATTGAAGCCTAACCTAGGCAATTCAGCCTAACAGCCCACCTGAAAATAAAAAGTAGGAAGTGGGGCAGTTTGGGGATGTTGCTTAGTGTGAAGGCTCTAGGTTCAATTCCTAATACTGTAAAAAAAAAAAAAAAAAAGTTTGAAAACTGTTATTTTAAGATAGTACTACTCTTTTTCCTGGAGAAACAGTTATCTTTTTGCAGTACTACCGTGGGGCTTGAATCCAGTGTCTTTACACTGAGCTACATCCCCACCCCTTTTCAGTTTCTGAGACAGGGTGTTGCTGTTAACTAGTTAAATTGTTCATGCATGGGTTACATTCTTAAGATTTTTCTGCCTTAGACTCCCAGAATGCTGAAATTATAGGCATGTACCACTGTGACTGAGCTTGTGGTTGAAACTCCTCAAAGAGTTATTTATGTGAGGTATAAGTATTTTTATTGCTCCTGAAATTAAAACTCAGAAGTTTATTGTTCACTGGTTCATGGAAACATCACATGCTAACAAAAATAACATGTTACAGAAATGGTTTTCACCTTGTAGACTTCCTGAGATAACTATTACCCTAAAATGTCTGTTACAAATATAAAAGAATATGAGGACAAACTTCAAAGTCTTTTATGTGTGTTTGGTTTTATTTGATAATCAGTGGTTAGGTGTCTGTCATCCATTGGAAAGCCAATGCCTCAACCCACACAGGTCTTACGATTTTTAAGGGGAAGGGCTGCTAGAGGATGAGATAATAAAAGAGACAAAAGCTGGGGTCAGGTAGAGCCCTTACTCTCCGGATGGGAGGAAAGGAACTGCCTTCTCACTGCAAAGGCATTTATTTATACATTTAGCAACACCATGTCATGTGGTACCTCTTTACCTAGCAACCTATTGCTTGGATTGTTTAGGAGCTTGGTGTTTTTCTGGGCTGAAGCAGCAGCTTCACGTGACTTCATGTGGCTTGCTCAGCTTTGTTCTTGGGATGGCCACGCCCCACCCCTCCATGTGTGATCAATTTCCAGGTTCAAAGGCTCCCTACAAGTGAATTGTCTTTTTTTGTGCTTTTATGATATTCAATAATCAATGGTTAGTTCTCTCTCCTCCATGACTATTTGGATTTCTGTAAGTGATTGTGACTAGTACATAGATAAAGTAATGAGGAGTGAGGTGACGAGGAGGGAGCTACAAACCATGTAGACTGGGGTGGGCTGGAGGTCGAGCTCAGGGGTATAAGCGCCTGCCTTGGAAGACAATATATAATGATAAAGATATACACAAAGCAAAACACAGTTTATAGGATTGCCGAGGAGAGACTGAGAAAGGGGGCTGGAAAGACAGGGTTAGAAGGACTCCCAGGAAGAGGTGACTCAGGAGCTGAGTGCCAAGGATGAAAGGCAAGCAGAGGCTGAAAGGATGAAGGCAAAGATGTGACAGGTGCTGCTGCAATGGAGAAGTGAAACTTAAGGAAGCAAGATTCCAGGTTCCTCAGGTGAAATGACTCCAGTGCTCTGAGGAATCATTTGTCTAATCTCTACCAACTCAGCATCTCAGTAGGACACAGTGAAGTCCTCAGGGCTCATCATGCTGACAAGCTTGTGAATTATTCACTAGAATTTCTTCCCCAGCCATGGTTTTTGTACTGAACTTGTGCTAGTGGGCACCCATTTGTCACAGGAAGGAGGCTGGTAGAATAGCAGTGGGGAGCTCCCCAAAAGGTCCAAGTCACCTCTGTCTCAAAAGCTGACTGGTGTGTATGGTTACTCTGTTTTTTTTTTTTTAATTGGTACTGGGGGTCGAACTCATGACCGCCTGCTTGCAAGGCAGGTGCTTATGCTGCTGAGCTAAATCCCCAGCACCCTACTCTCTGTTCTTTAAGAGCAGAGGCCCTGTTTCTTGGATTTTCCAGATGCTTCCATCTTGTAATGGTCTCAATAACTTGCCTTGAGCAAACTGCATGGATTCCAACAACAGCTCAGTCACCTCTCAGCTGTGTGAACACAGGCAAGTAAAGTGAACCTTCCGTCTGTGAAACAGAGCCCAAGGGTACCCATCTTACAGTGCTGGGAGAAAGAGGAAGAAAATCGTAACAGAGCCTGGCAGAGGGAATGCTTGGTGGCAGCTGGCCTTATGTTACAAGAGCACCGTTGCAGTTTTATTTGTGTCACCAGGTCTGCAGCCTGGTGAGAACGTAAGGAATTTGAGAAGCCGTAAGTCACAGGACTCTATGACCAATGCAGGTCTTTTCTGCTTTGCAGTTACCACTACTTGGCCCGCTTCTACAGTCTCAGCAGACATTCTCATCCACCCCTCAATAGCTCTGAAGCAGGATTTAAGACTCCCCACTCTTTGTACTGGTGCCGTAAGTTATTTGGTTGTTTCTCGCAGCTAAGCAATAGTAAGAAACACAGGTACCTGAAGACAACTTTGAAAATGCGAGACATGAAAGCTTTGGTTAGTTCTCAAGCTTATACAGAGTGAAAACGTAGCCGCCTGCCAATCTGCATCACTGTCATTATCAACTGCTGAGTGGAAAGAACACTTTCAATGTCAAGGACGTATCTGATTATAAAAGGAAAAACTTCTGAAAGCAATTTTCAATTTTCAAAAGATGCCCTGCTTTTAAGAACTTTACTGGTGACAGCACTGCCTCTAACCATAGGTACAGAAGGTACATTTTCTCATAAACCATAGCTTTTGAGTTTTCCAGTGTATCTATTAAGAACGGTAAAAGCAATCTCAAAATAATGAATTGTAAGCAACCAAGTAAGGGAGCTGCGAAATTCAATTTACTAAGCTGGATGTTAGAACCTTGTTCCGGGATCTGCATGCCCTTCTTTATTCCACTCCTTAAAACCGTAGATTGTATAGGTTGTAAGAACTCCGATATTTTTAAAGGAATTGTGCTAGATGAAGTGCTCTAGGGATAAAATTGATGTAGATAACTATGATATCAATAACCTGTGGCCTACAAAGTGATTCCTGTTAATGCCCTTTGGATATAAACACAAAGCTTCAAACATTGAGCAATATTGACCAGCCAACCAAAAGATGTTAGGTACAAGGTATTCAGATAAACACTTCCAGTTCAAATACCTTGCATTTCTGGGGGTCATAAGCCTAGCTAGTGTTCTACAATTTAAAAATGCTTTTCCTCATATTCTTATTTTAAAATAAAAATTAATTAACTTGCCCATGATCACAAATGCTATACAATTTTGATCTTTTAATTACTGATTATTATACCTCTTGTACACTGTTGTTTATTTTGTTTTTGAGACAGAGTCTCACTGTGTAGTTCAGGCTGGCCTGGAACTCACTGTAATACAAATTGGTATGGAACTCAGGCTAATGTTCCTGCCTCTGGCTCCCATGTGCGGAGATTATAGGCACGTGCCATCACACTCAGCTGGCTGCACACTGCCTTTCTAAGAAGTCTTATGATACTACCTGGTTATTTCATGAAAAATCAAGTAATCAGAATTAAATAATGAAAAATAGACAGAGTGGTATCTTGATGATGAAGCGACTGCTTGCTTGGCATTCATGAAGCCTTAGGTCCACTCCCTAGCAATGTAAATAAAAACATATTAGCATATTTCCCATTCCTCATTGATGTGTGATCAATTTCAATTTCAATTTCAATATACTTCTAGAATACAGGTTACCACCAACAAAAAACTTTGGTGCCTTCTGTTAAAAAAAAAGAAACACTGGAATTTAGGAAGGGGATAGTAAAATGATCTAGTAAAATGATCTGAAAATTAAGTATTTCATTGGAGCTGGTCAAGATGGCATAAGGCTACAATTTCAGATACTTAGGTGGCTGAGGCGTGAGAATTTCAAGTTCAAGGGTAGCTTGGGCAACTCAGCCACGATCTTATCTCAAAATAAGAGGGGATATGGCTCACTACAAAAAGCCTAGGTCCAATCCCCAGTTTCATGAAGAAAAAAAACAAAACAAAAAGTTTCAATGCATTGAGTTGGTAAAAATGTTCCTTAGTTTTACCACTGGGCTCCAGATAAAGCTGCCACACAGTGGAATGAACACATGGTTTCTTTTCTGAACAGTTAACACCCATGACAAGATCTGCCATCTATTTCACTTACTCAGCTCTGGAACACTGTTTAAACCTGAGCAGCAGCTCTTTATTGTCAGTTGTTCTAAAGCAATTTGGGAGTGGAGTATTTGAGACAGAGTCTCATTATGTAGTTCCAGTTGGTCTTGAACTCACTGGGCAACCCAGGCTGCTTCTGAACTCACAGTGATCCACCTGTCTCAGCCTCCAGAGTGCTAGGATTATAGATTTGCACTACCATGCGTGGTTTTTCAAATATTTAAAAACCTTTTTTTTGGTGTTTGTTTTGTTTTGAGACAGGGCTTTGCTAAGTAGCCTAGGCTGGCCTCCAACTCACAGCGATCCTCCTACCTCAGCTTCCCAAATGCTGGGATTACAGGTATGTGTCACCACACTCAGCTTTTGGTCCTATATTTGCAGCACTGTGGTTTCTTACCTGTCTAGATTTTCATTTAAAATGTAAAGTTAAAATGTATTTATTTTAAAAATCAGGATTTAAAATGAAGACCTTTTTTTTTTTTTTTTTAAACAGATAAGACAGGTGCTGTCACAAGTGCCAAGATTTAGCACCAAAAAAAAGTAGGCAATAGGCAAGGGCTCTGCTCTCATGTAACTTATTCTAAAGGGAAAAAGAAAAGAAATATTAGGCTTTTAAACTGAGAGATGACTAAAAGTTCACACACCCAAAGTTCACCAAGCATTTTAGAGCTGCAGGTCAAGCAGCCAAACCCATAAAACAAAAGGGACTGTTTTAAGATTACTACTATAATGTTAAAATAGTCTGTATTTTTGGCATTCCTTTTTGTTCTCCAGATTTGCCGCATCAATACTGCCTCCCTAATCCTGACCTACTGGGTAGGCTTAAAAGAGCACTTGCTTTCAGGGTGCCAAGAAAAGCCAAATCGGGATAAGACATGTGAACGGCGGGGGGCCAACCTGTACTGCTAGGGAAAGGTCAGACTGTTCTGGATTACGGACCTGTACATCCATTCAAACGCAAGGCCAAGGGAGCTAGGAAAGGCCAGGCAAGGCTCTGCTGCTGGTAGTTATGGTAGCCCCGGGTGATTTTAAGATTGGGCACCTCATTAGGTAGTATTTAAGGAGACGGGCCACAAATCGGATTCCTCAGTGAATTAACTGCCTGGCTCCCGTCTCCGCTAGGAAATCACTAGCTTGTTTTATCCTCCAACTTTCCCTCTGGACTACATATCAGCCTTAAAAATTACGTATTTGTCATTGTTTAAGCGAATGCCCTTCTCTCTGTCTTGTTCACTGCATCGCCAAGACGTGGTCCAGTGCCTGGCACCGAGAAACTGGGGTTATGAAATAGTTCAGCATGAAACAAAGAGGAAAGATTGATGGCTCCCGTGCGACAGGATCTCCTGAGGGTTTAAAAACTAAGGAGGCGCACTTCCCACCGAAAAGCCAAACGGCTTGGGGGTTACCGGCAATTCAGGAGGTGGCATAGACAGGACAGCTTCGCTGTCAAGGTCACGGGATGCGTAAGGAAAGAGGGGGAATCTCAGTGCTGGCGCCCGGGAACCTCCCCTCCGGGGGCATTTCTGTCCCCTGGTACACAAGCAGCAGCCACCCTCAGCCCTGCCCAGCTCAACCTTCTGGGGCCCGAGGGGGCCGCGACAGGTGCGCCGGATGCCCCCCAGGGCAGCCCGTCAAGGACATGCGCGCCCCCCAGGCCCGCAGCCAATCGGCGCGAGGCAGCCCTGGAGCCACAGCCAATCAGCGCGAGGTTGGCCTAGCTCCGCAGCCCGCGTGCTCTCCTCTCGCCCCGCACCCCCTAGCGCAGACTCTAGCCTCCCAGATCTCTAAAGTGGGAGTCTGGGTGCCGCAGAGGGTCACACTTCCTTCCTTCGGATTGCACTAGCTTGTCCTCCCGTGTCCCCTGGTGCAGGGAGGATAGGGATGTTAGACTCTTGAGAGTCAGTCTCCGTGAGGCGTGGGCACTCAATCCTTATCTTCCAAGATAGGAAATTCGAGCCGAAGGCACAGAAAGGCAGGGTGTGTATATTTGGCCACTCCCCTTCCCGAACATGGGGGTAGATGTCTGGGGCGCCTACAGCTCGGCAGGCCGACGTGCAGGCTCCATCCCAGAATCCCTTGGCTTACCTGGCTCTGGCAGAGGCCACAGCGGCAAGGCCTGGGTGGAAGGCGGCGGCGACCCCGGAGAGGACGCGGCTGGAGTGCAGCAGCGCCATGGTGGGCGGCAAAGGGCAGTGGGTAGCTGCAGGACAGCGCGGAGGGTAAGCTACTGCAGACGCCGGGGCGCGGGCTCCGGAACCAGGCAGGGACTGCGACTTCTCTGGACGAAGCTAGAGCGGCCACGCGCCAGGCCCTGGCCGCGTCACAGCGTCCCCTGGCGGCTGGGGGCGGAGCAAGCGCGGCCTTCGCGCGCATCATAGTAAATGAATGAAGGGGCTGTCTGTCTCCGATTTTTTGGAAACCGGCAGCGCTGGGCGCAGGCGGTACTTCTTTCATTTCTTCGTGCGGGACAGCAGAGACGGCTACTAGTATAACGATTGGAAAGGTCTGAAAATGTAGGATGACACAGGTGAACCCCCACTCCCCATGTTTTAAGAGCTATTAAGACCCCAGGTGGCTTTCAACTCTCAACAATCAGCCAGACAATTCTGTAAGCAAGGCATCTCCCCTTCCCGAATGTACCTTCATCCTTGTTATAAAGAGGGCAGGCTGCAGATGTATTTTGTGGGCCAGTTACGAAGATTAACTGAGATTAGCAGATTATGTCTAAAAACAGGGCCTGATTTAGTAAGTACAAAATTACCCATGGTCATTAATAACAAACTTGTCTGAAACTTGTCTGTGTCAGATCCTTGGCAGGAAGTACCCGGTTCCCTTGCACGCTAGGACAGGACAGCAGTAGCCCCAGGTCCTTGTGAGGATGGGGAAAGAGCAGCAAATGTGACAGTACCTGTGTGCGCATGCTGACAGGGCTGTGGGGCTGCCCTGTCAGGGAGTGCCCAGCATGGAGTTCCAGGAGCCTGGAGTGGATGGAGGTTTCATTGGCTGGAGGACTGTGGGGTGGTGGCGGCAGGAAGGCAGCTCGGAACCCTCATGCTCATCAGCCCAAGCTCTGCACCTAGAGCAGTAGTGGCCACGCCCACTGCAACACAGGACAATTAAAGAAGAGTACCCTGCATTTGCCACCAGCTGTGAGCAACTTTGTTCTGGTGTGTGCTGGGGATCAAACCCAGGGACTAGACAATCACTCTGTCACTGAGCTGGGGCAGGACTTAAGAAGAAAGTCAAGTCTCTCAACCTTCTCTCTCCCTACAGCAGTTGTTCTTTATTCTAATACAGGTAAAAGCAGTAACATTTGTCCCTGTAAGTAAAATTTTGTAACGTCCTATCCCATAATGTCCTGTTAGGCCCAGTAAGGCCACCAAGATACAAAACTGTCATAGCTTGACAGATTGTCTTGGTTCTCCTGTTCACGCATAAGCTCTGTGCAGAAGACCAACCCTCTGGGCCAGGGATTTAGCTCAGTGGCATAAGTGGCTGCCTGGCAAGTGCAAGATTGTGAGTTCAATCCCCAGTACTAAAAAAAACCAAAGACCAACCCCCTTAGAGAAAAATATGTCTGTGGGAGCTTCTCCTTTGTTGCATGCTCAGCCATTTTAGACACAAGTCTGCTGGGCCGGTGTTCACCTAAAACCAAGTAAACTCCGTTTCCCAGTGGTCTCTCTAGTTTCAATTTCTGTCACACAGCTACATCCCCAGCCCATCTGTGAGCATCTTTGGATAAGAACTATGACTTGGGATTTTCTAAGCACAGTGACAAATGTAAATACAGGTGCCATTGGCAGAGGAGTTCGGAACAGAGGTGCCCACCAGCTGGGGTGCAAGCCAAACCACCTGGAAGAGAAAACACTTCTGAGGTTAGAATGAGCACAAGCTCATCAAAAGGAGGAGAGGGAAGAGGAGAAAAAGACCGAGCAGGAGAAGGAGCAGCATTGTCAAAACAGGAGACATCTGAGAAAGAATGAGCTGTGAAGTCAAGGTGCTCCCAGATATTGTAGCACAGTTTAGGGAGGAGTAAGAAATGAGCACTCTGCTGAAGTTTTCATGGCAGGATTATCACCCCCACCATACAGAAGAGGAAACTGAGGCCTGAAGAGGTCAAGCAACAAAGACAGGTAAGGTCAGAGTCAGTCGGAGCCTTAACTCCAGTCACTGGTTGTCCTCTTCCTGCAAGGGTGTGACCCTGGGGAGGGGGTCTTCAGGGGATTCAAACAGGGCCAGGCCCAAGTCAGCTGAGAGTCTGAGAAGGGAGAGGGCCAGTGGTGACCTGCAAGTAGGCTCCAGGTGCCAGTGGGGAGAGATTCTCTGTGCTCCTCCCGCCTTCAAGTTTAAAGCACAGTTTGAGGAAACAAACTGGTATGGTCTACACATCCAAGCTTTTAGTTCCCGCAGGTAAGTTGTGCTGGAATCATGCTGAGCTCCCGACAGAGCCAAGAAAGTAAAAACAAACTTTAACTTTTTTTTTTTTTTTTTGTCTTTTTCCTTTTTATCGGTACCGGGGATCAAACTCACGACTCATGACTGCCTGCTTTCAAGGCAGGTGCTTATGCCGCTGAGCTAAACCCCCAGCCCCAACAAACAAACTTTAACTTTAAAATTGAAGCTATTCCTATGGGGCATCGTGGCACACACCTGTAATCCAGCACGTGGGATGCTGAGACAGGAGGATCACCATGAGTTCAAAGCCAGCATGAGTTACATAGTGAGATCCCCCACCCCATAAAAGAAAAAACAAAAAGAAAAAATGAAACTATTCTCAAACCATGAAGGTCAGGGCAGGGGCAGGGTGGGATGATTCCTTTAGCTCTGTGGCCTGAGAACAAATTGGACAGCATAGCAAGATGGAGTTTCAGAAGAGGAATTAGAAAGAGACCAGATTGAAGCTATTTGTTCTCACTGGCATCACTGAAACCATGTCTACCTCTTTTGTGGATTGAAATAAATCCTTATGCATAATTTAAATAGCGTTTTTAGTTGATTTTATATTTTTCCAGGCTAGCCTTGAACTTACTATGGAGCTGAGGCTGGCTTTGAACTTGTGGCAATTCACCTGCCTCAGCCCCAGGAGTTCTGGGATCAAAGATATGTGCTACCATGCCTGGCTGATTTTGTATTTATTAAAAAACCAAAAACAGAGTATCACAACAGTTCAACCTGCTGATTTCAAGGACACTGGTGTCCCCCAAATGATAGTGCGCACAGAGAGTAATAGTCCCATCAGTGGGCACTGACTCTGAGGGGTGAGTTCAGCCTTGTTAAAACAAATCAGAAGAATCTGAGCTGGTCCTGCCTCCAGGTGCTGCTCACCGGTGGCCAGGCAGGGCTAATGCACCATGGAGAATCCAAGGGCCACTGTGGGCGGCTGTCTCACCAACGGTGGGTTGCGAGTCCCTGGGCCTATAGCTGCCCTCCCACGTCAATTATTGAGAATAAAATAACATTCTCAAGCCAGCAGAGAGTGCAGAGACCACTGAGCTCAACTGCCTCCCCTTCCAGATACAAAAATGCAGGCTTTGAGTAGGAAGGGGACTTGCATAGGTGAATACAAGACACAAGCAGAATTGGAATCAAGCCCCTAATTCCAGAACTTACTCTTATTGGGCTTAGCTGCTTGAAAAAGGCGTCTACTTCCAAGTTTTGCTTTTCATCCGGATACAAAGAATGAGTTATGATTACTAGAGAAAAGACTTCCCAAGAACACTGCAAAAACAAGAGAAATTGGTGAGAATACAAATGGGAAGCTCATTTAAAAGTTTTGTATGGTTGTTCTCTTTGTGCAATGAGGAGGGCAGTTTTTTTTTTTTTAAATATTAAAGAGAATAAAACAAAACAATGAGAACAATATTGAACCGCAAACAACACAATGGGAAATCAACCGTAATTGCTATATTGCATATTGTTAGCCTCTAAATAGATGCTCAGACTACAGACATAGGCCTGCAAAGTCAATCAAACAATACAAGCACAAAGTCGTTTCTTCACAGAATATTGCCATCATTTCAGAAATTTCAGATGTGTGGCTTCTAATTTCTTCTATGACCATGTCTCTGGGACTTGTCCTGAGTGGGCTGGAGGTCTGAGATTGCACCCTGCTCCTTGCCTTGACATTTTCCTGTGTTCCCCAAATGAGTCCTGGGTGCGTCCTGTACTGGCTGTCTGTCTCCGAGGTGCAGGCACCTGGGATGAAGAGGGCAGATTTTTCTGGCACAGTTCATTTGTCTCTGCAACATGATTTAGCAGTGACAGGTGTGGGTCCTAGTCAATAAGGCCATCTCCATTCACACTCGAGCCTGAAACTACAGAAGGAAAGGAAGATACAAGTAATGAGAGTAGAGAAAAAAGGACTGTTAGACAGCTGAGCATTTCCCACAACATCATCCGTGGGATGGTAATTTATGTCATGAGAGAAAAAGGATGTTCTGGTCAAATGATTTTTAAAAATTAGCTTAATTCAAATCAACTATATATATCAGGCCTTGTCAGAGCTTTTACCACATGCATAGTAGATTTTTATGGGAGACATTTAACAAAATTTCCCAGACTTCTTTTATGTCCAAGAATAACCTCATGGGTCTTGTGTTCCTTCCAATGAATTGTTTATTCTAATAAAGCCTTTTAATATTCTCATTTTACAGATGAAACCATGAAGATTCTAAGACAGAATTGATGTTCTATGTCACATGGTTAATGATTGAGCCAGCATTGATATATATATATATATATATATATATATATATATATTTTTTTTTTTTTTTTTTTTTTTTTTTTGAGACAGGGTCTCATCATGCATTTCAGGCTGGTCTTCAGGTCACTTTGTAGCCCCAGGCTGGTCTCAGACTCGTAGCTATATTCCTGCTTCAGCCTTCTGAGTGGATTACAGACATGTACCACCATGCCTGGCCAGACTCACATTTGCAAACAGAAATCCAAGCTCCACATATTTTCCTTGCCCCTGCTATGTCCCTGGTGCTTAATGTCATGTCTGTGTCTCTAATTGGAAGGGCACAGTTACTGATACATAATAGCTCTGTGCTTTAGTGCGCCCCCCCATGATCTTAATTGAAACCCTCAGGGGTAGGCACTGTTATTATTCATTTTACAAAGCAGTAACCCAGGAATCATGAAAGGCCTGAGATTTTACTTTCCTTGCAAGCTTGCCAGTTAGGGTGTCACAGTATCTAGGGTCAGAAGGCCAGGTCTCTGGATCAGTGACACAGACTGCTTAGGTGTCACAGTGAGATTGCAGCCAGGGTATGTCTGGGTTGTTCCCCATTGGCT